TTTGTTTTTTAGATAGAAGAGTTTGTTGAATCTGACGTGACATGTTCGTACGAACCCTTTGTACGAACAAAAGTAAGAGAAATTTAGGATAAGAATACAAACATGTTCTTGCATGAGGCCCAATGTGTCTAAATTCTACTTGATGGCTATCAAGTTGATACATGAAAATTTGCCTGATTTAAGCCCATAGCTGTGAATTCCCAAATGGAGGAAAATAAATTTACCTACTGGTTTGATGTCATCAGACCAGAATTCACCAATCACGTGTTCACGAAGCATTTAGTAAATGTTCTGTTACGCAGCCCACAATTTGCCCTGAGGTTTATTTTGATATAGCCAGACAATCCAGAAGAAATTGAAAATCATTAAAGTGTAAAACTTTAAAGATCAAGATTATGCTGAGGTCAAGAAGAATTTAGTGCCTGAGGGTTTATTACCCTTTAAAAGCGGCCACATGCAGAAACGCATGGACTGCATTGACACAGTTTGCCCTGAAGCTACATGATGACATTCTTGATCACAATGATGGAATAGAGAAGCCAGAAAGTATGTTAAAATGCTGATTATCTTTAAATATGTATTTCTAATTGTTTTGCTGGTGCTCCACAGTGGTGAGGACTTCTACCCCACGTCGAATAGTCTGATTTACGGAACCCATACTCCCTCAAAGGAGGGCATTGACCGCATGGTGGAGGATGTTGAGAAACAGTAAGTCACACTTTATGAAATTCGTCCTCCTTTTTGACCCTTGCTTTTTTTAGGCTTGGTTTTTGCCTGCCCATTTAGATTCAGTCTGACTGGGCAGATTGTGATGGTCAGCCTTGGTACTAAAGCGGTGTTGCACACACTATTTACTGGGATCTTAGGCCAAAGGCATACAATGAAACACTGTAATCGTTCTCAGTAAATTTCATCTATTAAAAGGCCCATTTAACAAAAGAGAGTGTGGTATTCAGTGGTGTTTAACCTCAATCGTTTTAGTAATTACTATTTTTGATGATCCAAACCACACTTCTTTTTCATGTATCTCTGAATGACAGACTTTTTGCAACACTGGCACACCACAAACACACTGTGGAGAGGCAGAAGTGTCGGCCATGTGAGGCCGTCTCAGTGTTTGAACCAAGCTTGACTAATTTTAGAAAAATCAACTCCAGGGTACACTGGCGAACACTGGACCAGCTCTACACCCTCAGCAGGGTCCTGGAGGGTGCATGGGAGTTCACCCAACCGGTCTACATGTGTTTTGTGGACTTGGAGAAGGCGTTCSACCGTGTCCCAAGGGGGGCCTTGTGGGGGGTTCTCCGGGAGTATGGGGTACCGGGCCCTTTGATATGGGCTGTCAGGTCCTTGTATGACCGGTGTCAGAGTCTGGTCCGCATTGCCGGCAGTAAGTCGGGCTCGTTTCCGGTGAGAGTTGGACTCCGCCAAGGCTGCCCTTTGTCACCGATTCTGTTCATTACTTTCATGGACAGAATTTCTAGGCGCAGCCGAGKTGTTGAGGGGATCCGTTTTGGTGGCCTTAGGATCGCATCTCTGCTTTTTGCGGATGATGTGGTCCTATTGGCTTCATCGGAACGTGATCTGCAGCTCTCGCTGGAGCAGTTCGCGGCCGAGATGAGGCTCAGTGCCTCCAAATCCGAGGCCATGGTCTTGAGCCGGAAAAGGGTAAAGTGCCTTCTCCGGGTCAGGGGGGTCGTCCTGCCTCAAGTGGAGTTTAAGTATCTGGGGATCTTGTTCACGAATGGGGGAAGAAGGGAGCGGGAGGTCGACAGGCGGATTGGCGCAGCGTCTGCTGTAAAGCGGGCGCTGTACCGGTCCGCCGTGGTGAAGAGAGAGCTGAGTCAAAAAGCGAAGCTCTCGATTTACCGGTCGATCTACGTCATGACCGAAAGAACGAGGTCCCGGATACAAGCGGACGAAATGGGTTTCCTCCGCAGAGTGGCTGGGCTCTCCCTTAGAGATAGGGTGAGAAGCTCGGTCATCCGGGAGGGACTCAGAGTAGAGCCGCTGCTCCTCCACGTCGAGAGGAGCCAGTTGAGGTGGCTCGGGCATCTGGTAAGGATGCCTCCTGGATGCCTCCCTGGTGAGGTGTTCCGGGCACGTCCCACCGGGAGGAGGCCCCGAGGAAGACCCAGGACACGCTGGAGGGACTATGTCTCTCGGCTGGCCTTGGAACGCCTTGGAGTTCCCCSGGAGGAGCTGGAAGAAGTGGCTGGGGAGAGGGAGGTCTGGGCCTCCCTTCTGAAGCTGCTGCCCCTGCGACCCACCTCCGGATAGGCGGAAGAAAATGGATGGATGGAACTCCAGGGTAGAAGTTTTGATACATGGAGGCAGTTTAATCTAAAAGGCATGAGGTCAGGCTTTGGCATCATATATAACTGGGTCCTTATGAGGTCATGTATATGTCCACAGGTGACAGATTATTACCAGAAATGAGTTTTAAATGGAGAGTTAGATGGTTCCTCAAATCTGTGTTTTAATTTGTGAAGCAATTTGTGAATTTGTAACCTGTATTTTGGTCTTCTTTATATAACTTTGCAAGCAGAGGTTCAGCTCTGCTTTTATTATGTCTCAGATCCTGAAGTTTTGTCTTTGATCTGTTGATCTTTTTAAGCTTTGATCACCGGTCTTTCCCTAAGCTGTTCTGTATTTGAGACAGTCTTAGGCCTACATTGGAGATGCAACTGTAGAACATTAGACAAGGATTTAGTTGCCAGACTATGACGCACACTAATCCTTTGAAGACAGAGTAAATCAGAGTAGGAGCTCACAAATTGACAGTATGTATATGTGTCTTAAGTTTTCCATTGCCACTCTCCTTGGCCAAATTTAAACACATGCCCTCAAATTATTGCCTGTAGCCAATTATTGTTATTGGATATGCCATGAACAGTGGCCATGCTGGTTTATAAAAATCCTCCTTTTGAGTTGCCTTTCTTTACGATTGTCAGGATCGAGAAGCGTGCCAAGTACAGCCGGCGCAGAGCCTACAACGACGACGCAGACATCGACTACATTAACGAGAGGAACGCCAAGTTCAACAAGAAGGCGGAGCGTTTCTACGGCAAATACACAGCAGAGATCAAACAGAACTTGGAGAGAGGAACGGCTGTGTAACACACACAGCCAACCTGGTGATYCACTGCTTTGTGGATCTATTTTTTTGTTGTTGCATATGGAGTACATGTATTTACAAACCAACATAGTGTGCAGAATGTTTTATTATTTCATTATTTAGACCTGGCAAATGTCTCTTAAGGTATGTCACAGTTTGATTTCTTTTGTACAGTATAATTATTCTGACATTGATTTTTAAGTAAACCACTTCTAATTATCTGCTTATCTTGCTTAATTCTTGGTTTTTCTGAGGGTTTATGGTGTGTGGTCTTGTGATGGAGACACTTTAAGCCTGAGAAGAAACCACCATCAAACCTCTGGGCATGTTCAGCAGAGTGTCTTTTTTTTTGTTTTGTTTTGTTTTAGTGGAGGTGCAGAAAGAGATAAGGACCATGAACAGAGTAATTTAATTTATCRTCTTCATCGCAGCACTAATTTGCCTAAAGGCTGCGACATGACCAGGAAAAACCTTGTGACTTGAACTGGGTGAAAAAAAAAAAAAAGGCAAACAGGTTCCCATGAAGTCTGCACTCTGTGATCACTGAATGTGGTGGCATTGCACCCTCTGCAGGAAAGCTGAATAAAACATTTGCAATTCATMTTAATGTAAGAGTCATTGTGCAAAGATTTATTTACAGCTTTTGAATAAATTTATTACCTTACTCTGCTCAAAGTGTTTCAGCGATTAGATGCTMAAATACTTTTTGAAGTTTTATCTGATTCACCTGAGGATCTTTCATAAATCTACTGTGGCGTATCTCGGTCTGACACATCTGATTCTTTTAAAGCCAAGTTGCCAAAATTAGTTTCTATGTTGAGCAAAGTTAATTTGATCTGAAGCTTGTAAACATGGTGAAGTGTCAATAGCTGCCTGGAAGCCATCAAAGTGCTCACTCTAAAGACGTAACTAAAATGTCCTTTMCCAGGAAAAGAATGGGATCTAGGAAATAGTGAAGCTGTTTTCTCAGAGAAAGTTTAACATGAGTACATTAAACTAAATCTGCTGCGTCACTCATTCTCCAGTCCCGTTAAAACCTGTTGTGATAAGCCTTTGAATCAGATATCTCCACTCAAAGCAATTAATCAGTCTCAGGTCAGGTTACAGCAAGAGACACACAGTCTGGAAGTAAGACATTTCGACTRCAATTTTGCCTTATTAATACAACAAAATTGTGACATTCATCTGAATATTRACTTGATTTATTACCTCAGTGGTTACCCTAAAGCAATATTACGCTTACATTTGCCAACGAGTGCCAAGATACTGTCTGTGTAATACAAGCTTCAGGGGTAATCGCAAARTAGCCACAGCAAGAAGAGCTGTGTCAGAATTAACACCATGTTTCAGTCTGGTAACATTTGATACAATTAATATCTAGTAAAAACTAGGAAACTGATGTTTGTTAGTATGGCTCTAGATCAGAGTCTGAGCTGTAACAAATGATATGAATGACTGAAATCAAAAGCTGCTTGCAGCCCAAACTGAACCAAAACTGTAAGCTGTGACATGGCAGTGACGTTACCATTGTATTGAACACTGGTTACTGCTGCCATCTTGTGGGTTGTTTGAAAACTACAACTCGGGCATACCGTTCTCTGTACAACACAGTAAATGTTTACCTGCAGATTTTTACAAGTTCCAGCTTTAGATTAATATTTTTAATGAATTCACCCACCTTAATT